GAGCAGCATAGTCTAAATGAAGCCTAACCAAAGAACAACCTGAGGACTCCTGTTACAGCCTGAGGACTCCTGTTACAGCCTGAGGACTCCTGTTACAGCCCGAGGACTCCTGTTACAGCCCGAGGACTCCTGTTATTTATACTTCTTGATATGAAGCCAAGAATTTTATTCGCATTATTACGAACACTTACGCACTGTTGTCTTGAATTTTAGATTACTGCTGACCAGAACTCCTAAATCTTTTTTCGCAATCAAAGTGATTAAGGTCTACTTTATTTAGTTTACAAGTATCATGGTTATTTTCCTTTCCAACGCGTAGAACATTGCATTTGTCACCTCTCCAGCCACAGGTCTTGGAGCGCTCTAGTGTCCTCGTCAGAATTAAATCGAAGGCCAACTGGTGACGTTGTCAACTTGCTTCTGTTGCTATATATTCCGTCATCTATGTCGTTTATGTAAAGTGTGAACAACAAAGGTCCCAACACTGTCCCCTGAGGAATACCATTTGTGACGCGTCCTCACTCTGTTTTTTCCCCATATATGCAAACACTCTGTTACCCATTTACGAAACACGCTTCTATCAACGAGAAACATCTATTCTGTGTGCCCCTTTTACCTCAGCAACCTCCGATGTGGAACTCTCACTAAAGTCCATATAAACAATAATATATTCATTACCATGATCTACCTCCTCAAGTACCTTACTGTAAAAGGTTAGTAAATTTGTAAGGCAGCAACGCCCCTCTGTAAGACCATGCTGAGAGTTATTAATAAAATTATGTCTTTCAAGGTGGCTTCGAATAGCAATTAGTGATTCCATCAATTTTCTCGTGATGTAGGTTAGGCCTTTTGGTCTATAATTCGAAGCTAAAGACCTGTCTCCTGCTTTGTAGATAGGTAACACAACTACCATTTTCTGGCACTGTGCCAGTTTGTAGTGACATGTTTAAAAGACCAGGCAAAAGTTCCTCCTTACATCCTTCAAAACTCTGGCAAACAGTTCATCAAGGTCAGGGAATTTGTTAGGTTTTAATCAATATATTTGTCCGAGAAACATGTCATTGGGATGATATAAGTGCTAAAGATTGTACATATTTATTTGTCACTGTCAATGAGCTGACCTGAGTAGGTTCTGAGTGGCCTATCTTGTCCTTAATCTTACTCCTTTATACCTGAAAGAATCCCTCAAGAGTTTATCCTCGTAATCTCTTTTATCTTTTCTTCTTCTTGTTTTATTTCTCTTTTTAATTCAACATAATGGTGTCTTAGTTTCCTGTTTCCACTTTTGATTCGTCTGTAAATTCTTCTTTTCTCATGCTTTAATCTATGGTTTATCCATTTTGGGTAATTTTTGTTTGATATAATTTCCATATTTGGACCATAAACAGACTGGGTAGCTAGAACTATACTTTGAAAAATGTTATATTGACAACCATCACCATCTACCTGACCCATAGTCAGGTCACTCCTGTTCAACCCACTCACGTAATTTCTCACTCCTATGAAATCAGTCAAGTGGAAGTCATGTAGTTAATAAACTTTAATTCCCAGTAGGCAACCAAGCACCCCTAATGACCTTCGTGTAGTAGACTTTAACTACAATTAACGACCCACGTGGTATACACACAGATAACTGGACAGTGAGAACTGAAATTTGAAAAATCACTAGATTTGGAAAATCTAATTTTGAAGTCAGTGTAATAGAATGAATTTTCTGACAAAAACTAAAATTAGATTTAGAAGTATAGTGCAGTAAAGAAATAATTAGTCACCATGGATGAAAATTTTGAATTTAAATGAACAGTATAATAAGATTATGAAAATAAGTTAGAAAATACGACTTAAATAGACTTATTTTTAAGCATTTATTAAATAGATAGATGCAAAATTAATATAATTGATAACTGATAATCTAAAAAATATAATTCTACTTATAGAAAAAAATACTGGAATTTATTATTAATGGTAAAAATTCTAAAAAATTAAGATTTTTTTAAATTTTGAAGGTAAATTAATTATTTACGGAAATAATTAATATTATTACTCATAAGTACTCTTAATTATATTAATTAATCTTAATTATATTCATTACTCTTAATTATGTTAATTGCTCTTAAATTAAATCTTATGTTAATAATTATGACAGTTAATTATTAATTATATTAATTAATCTTAATTATATTAATTGTTCTTAATTATTTTAATAGTCATAATTATGTTAATTACTCTTAATTATGTTAATTACTTCTAATTAGGTAAATTTCTCTTAATTATTATTATTATTATTATTTAATACAGAAATAAAACAGTACAATTTGAAAATAAATATAAAAAATGGAGATAGACATAATAAACAGAAAATAGAAAGAAAATAGATAGTAAATACTGTATATTAGCGGCCGTAAGTCGCATTTTTACCTAAATAAACCAGAGTAGACCTTCCCTGCGTCTTATACACTGCTTACCAGCGTCTTATACACTGCTTCCCTGCGTCTTATACACTGCTTCCCAGCGTCTTATACACTGCTTCCCTGCGTCTTATACACTGCTTCCCTGCGTCTTATACACTGCTTCCCTGCGTCTTATACACTGCTTCCCTGCGTCTTATACACTGCTTCCCTGCGTCTTATATACTGCTTCCCAGCGTCTTATATACTGCCTCCCTGCGTCTTATACACTGCCTCCCTGCGTCTTATATACTGCTTCCCTGCGTCTTATATACTGCCTCCCTGCGTCTTATATACTGCCTCCCTGCGTCTTATACACTGCCTCCCTGCGTCTTATATACTGCTTCCCTGCGTCTTATACACTGCCTCCCTGCGTCTTATATACTGCTTCCCTGCGTCTTATATACTGCTTCCCTGCGTCTTATACACTGCCTCCCTGCGTCTTATACACTGCTTCCCTGCGTCTTATATACTGCTTCCCTGCGTCTTATATACTGCTTCCCTGCGTCTTATATACTGCCTCCCTGCGTCTTATATACTGCCTCCCAGCGTCTTATACACTGCTTCCCTGCGTCTTATATACTGCCTCCCTGCGTCTTATATACTGCTTCCCTGCGTCTTATATACTGCTTCCCTGCGTCTTATATACTGCCTCCCTGCGTCTTATATACTGCCTCCCTGCGTCTTATATACTGCTTCCCTGCGTCTTATATACTGCTTCCCTGCGTCTTATACACTGCTTCCCTGCGTCTTATATACTGCTTCCCTGCGTCTTATATACTGCTTCCCTGCGTCTTATACACTGCTTCCCTGCGTCTTATATACTGCTTCCATGCGTCTTATATACTGCTTCCCTGCGTCTTATACACTGCTTCCCTGCGTCTTATATACTGCTTCCCTGCGTCTTATATACTGCTTCCCTGCGTCTTATATACTGCTTCCCTGCGTCTTATATACTGCTTCCCTGCGTCTTATATACTGCCTCCCTGCGTCTTATATACTGCCTCCCTGCGTCTTATACACTGCCTCCCTGCGTCTTATATACTGCCTCCCTGCGTCTTATACACTGCCTCCCTGCGTCTTATATACTGCTTCCCTGCGTCTTATATACTGCTTCCCTGCGTCTTATACACTGCTTCCCTGCGTCTTATACACTGCTTCCCTGTGTCTTATACACGTATACTACTCTGCTTCCTGGCGTCTTATACACGTATACTACACTGCTTCCTGGCGTCTTATACACGTATACTACACTGCTTCCCTGCATCTTATACACTGCTTCCCTGCGTCTTATACACGTATACTACACTGCTTCCCTGTGTCTTATACACGTATAGTACACTGCTTCCCTGCGTCTTATACACGTATACTACACTGCTTTCCTGCGTCTTATACACGTATACTACCCAGCTTCCCTGCATCTTATAGACGTATAATACACTGCTTTCCTGCGTCTAATACACGTATACTACACTGCTTCCCTGCGTCTAATACACGTATACTACCCAGCTTCCCTGCGTCTTATACACGTATACTACACTGCTTCCCTGCGTCTTATACACGTATACTACACTGCTTCCCCACGTCTTATACACATATACTACACTGCTTCCCTGCGTCTTATACACGTATACTACACTGCTTCCCTGCGTCTTATACACGCATACTACACTGCTTCCTCACGTCTTATACACGTATACTACACTGCTTCCCTGCGTCTTATACACGTATACTACACTCCTTCCCCGCGTCTTATACTCGTATACTGCACTCCTTCCCCGCGTCTTATACTCGTATACTTCACTCCTTCCCCGCGTCTTATACACGTATACTACACTGCTTCCCTGCGTCTTATACTCGTATACTACACTCCTTCCCCACGTCTTATACACGTATACTACACTGGTTCCCAGCGTCTTATACTCGTATACTACACTCCTTTCCCGCGTCTTATACTCGTATACTACACTCCTTTCCCGCGTCTTATACTCGTATACTACACTGCTTCCCCACGTCTTATACACGTATACTACACTGGTTCCCAGCGTCTTATACTCGTATACTACACTCCTTCCCCACGTCTTTTACACGTATACTACACTGGTTCCCCGCGTCTTATACACGTATACTAAACTGGTTCCCCGCGTCTTATACACGTATACTACACTCCTTCCCCACGTCTTATACACGTATACTACACTACTTCCCCACGTCTTATACACGTATACTACACTGGTTCCCCGCGTCTTATACTCGTATACTACACTCCTTCCCCGCGTCTTATACACGTATACTACACTCCTTCCCCGCGTCTTATACACGTATACTACACTCCTTCCCCACGTCTTATACACGTATACTACACTACTTCCCCACGTCTTATACACGTATACTACACTCCTTCCCCACGTCTTATACACGTATACTACACTCCTTCCCCACGTCTTATACACGTATACTACACTCCTTCCCCACGTCTTTTACACGTATACTACACTGCTCTCCTGCGTCTTATACACGTATACTACACTCCTTCCCCACGTCTTATACACGTATACTACACTGGTTCCCCGCGTCTTATACACGTATACTACACTCCTTCCCCACGTCTTATACACGTATACTACACTCCTTCCCCACGTCTTATACACGTATACTACACTGCTTTCCCGCGTCTTAAACACGTATACTGCACTCCTTCTCCACGTCTTATACACGTATACTACACTGGTTCCCCGCGTCTTATACACGTATACTACACTGGTTCCCCACGTCTTATACACGTATACTACACTACTTCCCCACGTCTTATACACGTATACTACACTACTTCCCCGTGAATGCGTGTTATGGCCGAGTGCGACTTATAACAGGTAATATACGGCAGATAGAAAATAGATAATACAATAGATAGAAAGTAGATACAAAATATATATAGATTAATTAATTATTATAAAAGAAGAAAACAGATATAAAATACATGGAAACTGATAGAAAATAATAGATAATAGACAGGAAATAGATAGAAATTAATACGAAATAGATATAAAATACAAGGTGGATTGCTATTGGTCAATTACTACTGAGTCATTGAGAAAGTTATGTAGTCTCGATGATGATTGGTCAGTTATGTACTTTAGTGCTCTGATTGGCTGAAGGGGAAGAGGAATTAAAAGAGAAAGGAGAAGGGGAAGAGGAAGAGGAGAAGGGAAAGAAGGGGAAGATGAAGAGGTAAAGAAAGAGAAAGAAGAGGAAGAAGAAGAAGAAGAAGAGAAGATGAAGAGAATTTTGTGAAAAAAAACAAGAGGAAGAATAAATCTCCAAGCAAATGAAGATTAACTCCACTTGCATGGATCAAGAGCACAAGCAAGAGTAAGATCTCACCTGGACAATGTTGAGAAGAAAGAGGAAGGCAAGAAGAGCCACGGCCGAGGCGTTGACGTAACCTGAAGAACACGACAACCTGAAGAACAAGAACACTCTTGATCAAGAGTACTGACACTGAAGAACACGTCGTGAAGAACAAGAACACTCTTGATCAAGAGTACTGACACTGAAGAACAAGAACACTCTTGATCAAGAGTACTGACACTGAAGAACAAGAACACTCTTGATCAAGAGTACTGACACTGAAGAACAAGAACACTCTTGATCAAGAGTACTGACACTGAAGAACAAGAACACTCTTGATCAAGAGTACTGACACTGAAGAACAAGAACACTCTTGATCAAGAGTACTGACACTGAAGAACAAGAACACTCTTGATCAAGAGTACTGACACTGAAGAACAAGAACACTCTTGATCAAGAGTACTGACACTGAAGAACACGTCGTGAAGAACAAGAACACTCTTGATCAAGAGTACTGACACTGAAGAACACGTCGTGAAGAACAAGAACACTCTTGATCAAGAGTACTGACACTGAAGAACACGTCGTGAAGAACAAGAACACTCTTGATCAAGAGTACTGACACTGAAGAACACGTCGTGAAGAACAAGAACACTCTTGATCAAGAGTACTGACACTGAAGAACACGTCGTGAAGAACAAGAACACTCTTGATCAAGAGTACTGACACTGAAGAACACGTCGTGAAGAACAAGAACACTCTTGATCAAGAGTACTGACACTGAAGAACACGTCGTGAAGAACAAGAACACTCTTGATCAAGAGTACTGACACTGAAGAACACGTCGTGAAGAACAAGAACACTCTTGATCAAGAGTACTGACACTGAAGAACACGTCGTGAAGAACAAGAACACTCTTGATCAAGAGTACTGACACTGAAGAACACGTCGTGAAGAACAAGAACACTCTTGATCAAGAGTACTGACACTGAAGAACAAGAACACTCTTGATCAAGAGTACTGACACTGAAGAACACGTCGTGAAGAACAAGAACACTCTTGATCAAGAGTACTGACACTGAAGAACAAGAACACTCTTAATCAAGAGTACTGACACTGAAGAACACGTCGTGAAGAACAAGAACACTCTTGATCAAGAGTACTGATACTGAAGAACAAGAACACTCTTGATCAAGAGTACTGACACTGAAGAACAAGAACACTCTTGATCAAGAGTACTGACACTGAAGAACAAGAACACTCTTGATCAAGAGTACTGACCCTGAAGAACAAGAACACTCTTGATCAAGAGTACTGACACTGAAGAACAAGAACACTCTTGATCAAGAGTACTGACACTGAAGAAAACGACAACCTGAAGAACAAGAACACTCTTGATCAAGAGTACTGACACTGAAGAACAAGAACACTCTTGATCAAGAGTACTGATACTGAAGAACAAGAACACTCTTGATCAAGAGTACTGATAATGAAGAACAAGAACACTCTTGATCAAGAGTACTGACCCTGAAGAACACGTCGTGAAGAACAAGAACACTCTTGATCAAGAGTACTGACACTGAAGAACACGTCGTGAAGAACAAGAACACTCTTGATCAAGAGTACTGACACTGATGAACAAGAACACTCTTGATCAAGAGTACTGATACTGAAGAACAAGAACACTCTTGATCAAGAGTACTGATACTGAAGAACAAGAACACTCTTGATCAAGAGTACTGATAATGAAGAACAAGAACACTCTTGATCAAGAGTACTGACACTGAAGAACAAGAACACTCTTGATCAAGAGTACTGATACTGATGAACAAGAACACTCTTGATCAAGAGTACTGATACTGAAGAACAGAGCCAGAGGAACAAGAGAGAACTCTTGATCAAGTGTAGCCACTCTATAGAGCTCAACCAGAAGAGCAAGAGGAGGACTCTTGAAAAAGAGTACATTAAAATGGAGGAGCACAGTAGCAGGCCTACTGGCCCCATTCTGGACAAACCCACAAACTAAATTAACAAAAATATTCGCGCAATATAAACCCATATGTAAGTCCCACTCAGATCCAACCCCTCTCACTCGTGTAGTTACTAACTCATGTGTGAGTCCCACTCAGATCCAACCCCTCTCACTCGTGTAGTTACTAACCCATGTGTGAGTCCCACTCAGATCCAACCCCTCTCACTCGTGTAGTTACTAACCCATGTGTGAGTCCCACTCAGATCCAACCCCTCTCACTCGTGTAGTTACTAACTCATGTGTGAGTCCCACTCAGATCCAGCCCCTCTCACTCGTGTATTAATTTAACTTAAATCTGAAGATATGAAAGGTTGAGGCTACAATAACCCGACTAGGCAGACTGTTCCACTCATGGTTGTGGCTACAATAACCCGACTAGGCAGACTGTTCCACTCATGGTTGTGGCTACAATAACCCGACTAGGCAGACTGTTCCACTCATGGTTGTGGCTACAATAACCCGACTAGGCAGACTGTTCCACTCATGGTTGTGGCTACAATAACCCGACTAGGCAGACTGTTCCACTCATCAACTATCCTATTTCTAAACTAATACTTTATTATATCCTTTTTAAATCTAAATGTATCTAATCTGAATCCACTATTTGTAGTTCTATCTTTAAGAGATATCCTCACAACTTTATTAATATCTATCTGGGTAACTTTATTATAGATGTTCCACTATCCTGGGTAACTTTATTATAGATGTTCCACTATCCTGGGTATCTTTATTATAGATGTTCCACTATCCTGGGTAACTTTATTATAGATGTTCCACTATCCTGGGTAACTTTATTATAGATGTTCCACTATCCTGGGTAACTTTATTATAGATGTTCCACTATCCTGGGTAACTTTATTATAGATGTTCCACTATCCTGGGTATCTTTATTATAGATGTTCCACTATCCTGGGTAACTTTATTATAGATGTTCCACTATCCTGGGTAACTTTATTATAGATGTTCCACTATCCTGGGTAACTTTATTATAGATGTTCCACTATCCTGGGTAACTTTATTATAGATGTTCCACTATCCTGGGTATCTTTATTATAGATGTTCCACTATCCTGGGTATCTTTATTATAGATGTTCCACTATCCTGGGTATCTTTATTATAGATGTTCCACTATCCTGGGTAACTTTATTATAGATGTTCCACTATCCTGGGTAACTTTATTATGATGTTCCACTATCCTGGGTAACTTTATTATAGATGTTCCACTATCCTGGGTATCTTTATTATAGATGTTCCACTATCCTGGGTAACTTTATTATAGATGTTCCACTATCCTGGGTAACTTTATTATAAAATGTTCCTATCCTGGGTATCTTTATTATAGATGTTCCTTCCTGGGTAACTTTATTATAGTGTTCCCTATCTGGGTATCTTTATTTAGATGTTCCACTATCCTGGGTATCTTTTTATAGATGTTCCACTATCCTGGGTATCTTTATATTTGATGTTTCACTATCTGGTATCTTTATTATAGATGTTCACTATCTGGGTATCTTTATTTAGATGTTTCACTATCTGGGTTTTTTATTATAGATGTTCCCCTATCTGGGTATACTTTATTTAGATGTTCCATATCTGGGTATCTTTATTATAGTGTTTCATATCCTGGGTATCTTTATTATAGATGTTTTCACTATCCTGGGTATCTTTATTATAGATGTTCCACTATCCTGGGTATCTTTATTATAGATGTTTCACTATCCTGGGTATCTTTATTATAGATGTTTCACTATCCTGGGTATCTTTATTATAGATGTTTCACTATCCTGGGTATCTTTATTATAGATGTTTCACTATCCTGGGTATTTTTTATAGATGTTTCAATATCCTGGGTATCTTTATTATAGATGTTTCACTATCCTGGGTATTTTATTATAGATGTTTCATATCTGTCGATTTTATATATTTAAATCTAAGACCATAATTAGTAGTAGAATTATATGCAGAAAGATGAGGTTATTGGTCGTGAAGAATATGTGGAGCACCGTAGTTGTGGAGATTGTGGAGCACCGTAGTTGTGGAGATTGTGAAGCACCGTAGTTGTGGAGATTGTGGAGCACCGTAGTTGTGGAGATTGTGGAGCACCGTAGTTGTGGAGATTGTGAAGCACCGTAGTTGTGGAGATTGTGGAGCACCGTAGTTGTGGAGATTGTGAAACACCGTAGTGGTGGAGATTGTGGAGCACCGTAGTTGTGGAGATTGTGAAGCACCGTAGTTGTGGAGATTGTGAAACACCCTAGTTGTGGAGATTGTGGGAGCACGTAGTTTGGGAGATTGTGAAGCACCGTAGTTGTGGAGATTGTGGAGCACCGTAGTTGTGGAGATTGTGGAGCACCGTAGTTGTGGAGATTGTGGAGCACCGTAGTGGTGAAGACTGTGAAGCACCGTAGTTGTGGAGATTGTGAAGCACCGTAGTTGTGGAGATTGTGGAGCACCCTTTGTTTGGAGATTGTGGAAACACCCTAGTGGTGAAGACTGTGAAGCACATTAGTGGGGAGGGGGCTGTGAAACAGTAGTGGTGGAGACTGTGAAACACCGTAGTGGTGGAGACTGTGAAAGCACGTAGTGGGAAGACTGTGAAGCACCGTAGTGGTGAAGACTGTGAAGCACCGTAGTGGTGAAGACTGTGAAGCACCGTAGTGGTGAAGACTGTGAAGCACCGTAGTGGTGAAGACTGTGAAGCACCGTAGTGGTGGAGACTGTGGAGCACCGTAGTGGTGGAGACTGTGAAGCACCGTAGTGGTGAAGACTGTGAAGCACCGTAGTGGTGAAGACTGTGAAGCACCGTAGTGGTGGAGACTGTGAAGCACCGTAGTGGTGGAGATTGTGGAGCACCGTAGTTGTGGAGACTGTGGAGCACCGTAGTGGTGAAGACTGTGTCACACAACACAAGGACCGTAGTGGTGAAGACTGTGTCACACAACACAAGGACCGTAGTGGTGAAGATGTGTCACCCAACAAGACCGTGTGGTGAAGACTGTGTCACAAAACACAAGGGGGCCGTAGTGGTGAAGACTGTGTTTTACACAACACAAACCACCGTAGTGGTGAAGACTGTGAAACCACCCTAGTGGTGAAAACTGTGTCACACAACACAAGCACCGTAGTGGTGAAGACTGTGAAGCACCGTAGTGGTGAAGACTGTGAAGCACCGTAGTGGTGAAGACTGTGAAGCACCGTAGTGGTGAAGACTGTGTCACACAACCAAGCAGTAGTGGGTGAAGATGTGAAGCACCGTAGTGGTGAAGACTGTGAAGCACGTATGGTGAAGACTGTGAAGCCCCCGTAGTGGTGGAGACTGTGAAGCACCCCTAGTGGTGAAGACTGTGGAAACACCCTGTGGTGAAGACTGTGAAGCACCGTAGTGGTGAAGACTGTGGGCACACAAAAGGCTGGGCCATTACATTCGGAGTCACGTGATCCTCACAACTTTAGGCTGAGAACAGATTACTCATATTTTTGCATATATTTATACGTCTTTCAATTATGTCCTAGATGGTATTTATAAAGTACTGGAGGGCGAAAACGTTACATAAGATACCCAGAGTTGCCTGTTTTAAATTTTTATTTGTATTGGTACCATTCAGTTTAAATATTTTCCTTTATTTCCTCCCGGGACGTTTTTTCCCCGAAATTTAGTTGGGTTTCACTAAATTGTTTTACCAAGGTTTTCCCCCGGGAGGGGGGGGGGGGGGTTTTTTTTTTGTTTCGAATTTATATCCATTGTGTAATAATAACCGAAGCCTGCAAAACAATGTAAAAAACCCATTTAACCTCTTGACTTGTTGCTTATATTCTTGATACAAATGCGTAATCTGTTGGTTTATTACGTACTTTAGGCGTGTTGTCCTGGCTTCAGGTTCCCGCTTCCTAACTCAATCCTTTTTGTATTCTGCGTGGGCCCAAAATGCTATTAAGTTTATAAGTGCTAGAGGTATTTACATTCCCAATCAGACTCGCTTGTCTAATTTAGGCATCTGCCCCTTTTTAGACTATGTATGGCAGCTTTTGAAAAATGACCCCAGTCTGAAAATCTTTCCGTTTTCCCGTCCCAACGTTTTTCCGGGGGGGTTCAAAACCTCCTTAGGGTTTGGGGTAATAATGTGGGAGCAGAGATAACACCAGGGGTAACTAGATGAAAACTCTACACAATGAGATAAAAAACCAGGGGGTAACTCGATGACAAAATCCACACACCGAGATAACACCAGGAGGTAACCCAAGGAAAATCTCACACACAGAGATAAAAACCCCGGAGGTAAATAGATGACACTTCAACAACGGTAAACCCGGGGTAAATAGATGACAACTCTACAAACACGAGATAAAAAAGGGGTAACTAGTGAACTCTCACCACGAGATAACCCAGGAGGGGAATCAGATGCAACTCTCCAACACAGTAAACCCGGGGGTAATCAGATGACAACTCTCACACACCAGCTTTTAAATCTGCACCAAATTCACCTTAAACCAGCAAATAATATTCAACAAGACTGGAGAATACAGTGGACCTCATCTTCACTAACAATGATGATCTAACACGAAATATTACCATATCAACAACAATATACTCAGACCACAACATAATGGAGGTTCAGACATGTGCGGGTCCCAGACCACAACATAATGGAGGTTCAGACATGTGCGGGTCCCAGACCACAACATAATGGAGGTTCAGACATGTGCGGGTCCCAGACCACAACATAATGGAGGTTCAGACATGTGCGGGTCCCAGACCACAACATAATGGAGGTTCAGACATGTGCGGGTCCCAGACCACAACATAATGGAGGTTCAGACATGTGCGGGTCCCAAACCAACAATATGTGATCAGTCACATGATACATATTTTTTTCCTCTGATCTAATCAGAGATAAAAATAAACTGACCTAAAGAGATAACGCTAAAAAGTTTAAGTTACTTTAGGTGAAGCTTCTAACTTAACTTTGGTCCAAAAATTAAAGTTTTTGTATCATTGTCAATGAAAAAATATGTCTATCCACCTTTAAGAACTCCCTTAAAAAGTATATCTATCCACCTTTAAGAACTCCCTTAAAAAATATATCTATCCACCTTTAAGAACTCCCTTAAAAAATATGTCTATCCACCTTTAAGAACTCCCTTAAAAAATATGTCTATCCACCTTTAAGAACTCCCTAAAAAAATATAAATATATTAGAAAGACCACATTTGTGGTGATGTTTCTGCGCTATGGTGGGTTGAGTCATAGCTCCTGGGTCCATCTATGATGGTTGGGAGTGTCATACCTGGTGGTGAAGCTGTGCAGGGATGAATGACTTACCCATAACCGCTCTCGCTGCCGTAGCTGCCATAGTCACTGCTGCCATAGTCTGTGGGAGAGTCAGAGATGATGGTGATTTGTGGTGATTGTGATGAGAAACGTTGGTGATTGTGATGAGAGAGTGTGAGATGTAGTGGTTAATAACGGTTGACTTTGATGAATGATTGTGGTGAGAGAAGTAGGGATGAGAGACTGGTAATTGTAGTGAGAGATAATGGTGAGTGACCATGATGATTGTTATGAGGGATTGTGGTGAGAGACTGCGGTGACAGTGCTGAGATTTTGTGGTGATTGTTGTGAAAAATAGTGAGAGATGGTGACTGTGGTGATTGTGGTGAGAGATAATGTTGAATGTGGTGAGAGATGTAGTGAGAAACTATGGTGATTGTGATGAGAGACGGAAGAGAGAAGATGTAGTGATTGTGGTGAAAGATAGTGATGAGAGGTAGTGTTAATAGTGGTAAGAGATAGTGGTGATTGTGGAAAGAGATAGTGATAGATAGTGTTGACAGACCGTGGTGATTGTGGTACGAGATAGTGGTAAGGGATAGTGATTAGGTATTGAGAGAGACAGTGGTGACAGTGAGACATAATTATGAGATATTAAGGAATTACGGTGAGACATAGTTTGAGATAATGATGAGATAGTGATAGTGTGACATAATGATGAGAGATGTAAGAGATAATGAGAGATTGTAAGAGATAGTGGAAGGCTGTAAGATATAAGGAGAGATTGCAAGAGACAGTGAGAGACAGAGTGATAGAGACAATGAGAAATTGCGATAGTGATAGTGAGAAATAGTGAAAATGAGAGATAGCATGATAAGGGCAATGAGAAATTGTGATAGTGAGAAATAGTGATAGTGAGAGATGAGTGGTCTGTATCTCTCTCTGATTACACTATGTTACACAACTTTTATTCCTGGTAAGTAAGTGTTATTTTCCAACTTTTTTATCCCAAAACAACAGAAGATCCTTATTATTCCTTCTAAACTTTGCTTTTGTTTCTGACACGAAGAATTTCTGACAAAAATGGCTAAATTTCTATATATTTTTGCAAGTTTTAGATGTAAAACAAAAACATGAAATAAATAAAATTTAAATAAAATAAAATTTACACATTTTGTTTTAAGCTTTTTGAATTACATTTACAAAGTTAAAAATTAGCAGTTTTTTCAAGATTTGTGAGCAGCAACAGATCAGTTTCCCGTTGAAGCCGCCAAATGTTGCCTGCCAACATGTGTTCATTATAAGATTCCTGATGTCTGTGTTCAAGGTCCATTATATGATCCCTGATGTCTGTGTTCAAGGTCCATTATATGATCCCTGATGTCTGTGTTCAAGGTCCATTATATGATCCCTGATGTCTGTGTTCAAGGTCCATTATAAGATCCCTGATGTCTGTGTTCAAAGTCCATTATATGATCCCTGATGTCTGTGTTCAAAGTCCATTATATGTTGGTGGAAGCGCTTCCCTTCCTCCGCTGGGTATGCTCCCGTATTCTCCTTGAAATTGTCAAGATAAGCATCAAGGACATCCTACAAGGGACATCCTGCAAGGGACATTCTACAAGGGACATTCTACAAGGGACATTCTACAGCCCATCTGACCATAGCTTTTTACCAAGATCTCATTAAGTTCCACATAATTGTCAGCCTTGTTGTTGATCAGAAAGTTCTGTGCTACACCAACTAAACTCCCCCAGGCTTACTTTTCCTCCTCTGTGAGCTTCTTTGGAAATTCTGAGCACTCCATGATTTTCCTGAGTTGTGGTCCTTTGCCTCTGATAGTTTGGGTAAGAAGTCTTGAAGATACTTGAAGGCCGCAGACTCTTACTCAAGAGTTGTAG